AATAGTAGATTAATATATGATATGTGGTTAAAAAATAAGGAAAATTTTGAATATGTATGTAATATCATTTGACACGAAATCGTTTAAAAACTTTAAAGAGTAATTCAAATGGATCTAGGGAATGACCTGCTGTATTTGTGGACAAGCAAAAGTTTGTCGAGAAACGAATTTCAAGAATGTGTTGTTAAAAAGAAGAGAATAAAAAATATATTTTGAAAATAGTAGGGATCAAATGAGGGCTTAAAGTAGAGAGAGAGAGAATCGAGAAAAAGTGTGAGTTATCCGACTTTGATCAGATTGCAGAAATAAAACAGTAGTATTGACCATGATTTTCGGTTAGAAATTTAAATTTTGTTCCGAAGTCAATAAATAGTGAGAAATGCTCCATGTTCATATCAATTAAATTTAATCTATATACCTGTAAATTCATCTATACAAAAAATCTGCGCAAGTAACATTTTTGATAAATAATTAAGCTGCAAAATGATTAACTACGGCAATGTAACTACTCTTTCAACATTAACTCAAATCTAAATTGAGTTTGGATCAAATTCTACTATTCCAAAATCTAAAACAGCATCAAGCATTAGGATTCAACGGTTTTGATAGTTTGATTATCCATGTAACGTATGAGAATAATAAAGGCATATTTGCCACACTTTTGAAAAGTCAAAATTTACTTTCGAGTGAAAAGCTGTTTTATTTTTTTTTAACCTATTTGAAATTTTTTTGTAAATTTCTAAAATGTAGAAATAAAAATTGAATAGGTGGTGGATTTTGAAGCGTGAGTGTGACCCATAAATATAAGCAACACGACTACCATGAGTAATGGCTCTTTTTGTCGCTCCTCCCCTGCAAGCAGAAGTCCTTTTTTGTCTCACATTCTCTCTCTAGAGCGAGCTTCATTCAGACCTCGAATATTGAGTCTTTAAAGACACAAGAGAAAGCAAAGAAAACAACTTATCATTGCCACCCTCTCTCTATTGCAATACAACATTACAACTTGACTTGGCCCTGTTTGGTTTTGACTTTTCACCCCTCAAAATTTTTTCATTACTTTCAATAGCCAGTTGTCGTTTTTTACTACTTTACTCATAGGTGAGATTCACTTTTTCCTCTAACAATTAAAAAATTGATTCTTATAATCACTATTGACCTGACCCTTATATTCAAGTCGAGTCCTTTGTGACGTCAAATAGTCAAGCTGTGTTTGTTTACCAGCTGGAACTTTCATGGATTTTGTGTTAGCTCATCAATTCATCAATCAAATATTGACGGAAATTTTCATTGTTTATGCACCCGTAAATTGAGTTGTGGAAGAGTTAAAATCTTTGGACTGGATTTGACATGATTGGATGGTTCTAAACTGCTTTAAGTATGGAGAAGCAAAAAATGTATCTTGGCTCCATGCTTAAAAGAAATGTACAAGAGATTAAAATGCTACTTCAAGCCAATGCGAGTTTTCATCAAGTGATAAGCGGATTTGGATTGGGTACAAGTTATACGCGTGATTTTCTTTTCAGTATTTTTTTTCTAGTTACTTTCAGCTCGATGATACTTTGGTATTTTGTGTGAATCTTGAAAACAACTAAACATGCATATTGTTCACAATGCTCTAGGTCCAAATCTTGATTGTGATTAGTGTCTCTTCGCTATGCTATCAATGTTAGTCAAGTCAAATTTGTTAAAATTGTAACATTCTAATTCTACAGTTCGGTGAATATTTGTACTACGGGCTAGTCCCATTGGCTTAAGGAGCTTTGGTCTTACTGTCTCCCATCTGACTTAGCCCTTGTTTGAGCCTCATTATTTGGTTAAGAATGCATTTTGAAATAGTAGATTAATATAGGATACGTGGTTAAAAAATAAGGAAATTTTTGAATATGTATGTAATATCATTTGACACGAAACCGGTTAAAAACTTTAAAGAGTAATTCAAATGAATCTAGGGAATGACCTGCTGTATTTATGGACAAGCAAAAGTTTGTTGAGAAACGAATCTCGAAAATGTGTGGTTAAAAAGAAGAGAATAAAAAATGTATTTTGAAAATGATAGGGATCAAATGAGGGCTTAAAGGAGAGAGAGAGAGAGAGAGAGAATTGAGAAAAAGTGTGAGTTATCCAACTTTGATCAGATTGCAGAAATAAAACAGTGGTATTGACCATGATTTTCGGTTAGAAACTTAAAATTTGTTCCGAAGTCAATAAATAGTGAGAAATGCTACATGTTCATATCAATTAAATTTCATCTATATACCTGTAAATTCATCTATACAAAAAATCTGCGCAAGTAATATTTTTGATAAATAATTAAGCTGCAAAATGATTAACTACGGCAATGTAACTACTCTTTCAACATTAACTCAAATCTAAATTGAGTTTGGATCAAATTCTACCATTCCAAAATCTAAAACAGCATCAAGCATTAGGATTCAGCGGTTTTGATAGTTTTGATTATCCATGTAAAGTATGAGAATAATAAAGGCATATTTGCCACACTTTTGAAAAGTCAAAATTTACTTTCGAGCGAAAAGCTGTTTTTTTTTTTTTTTTTTTTTTTTTTTTACTTTTTTTATTTTTTTTTTTATTTTTTTTTTTTTACCTATTTGAATTTTTTTTGTAAATTTCTAAAACGTAGAAATAAAAATTGAATAGGTGGTGGATTTTGAAGCGTGAGTGTGACCCATAAATATAAGCAACACAACTACCATGAGTAATGACTCTTTTTGTCGCCCCTCCCCTGCAAGCAGTAGTCCTTTTTTGTTTCACATTCTCTCTCTAGGGCGACTTCATTCAGACCTCGAATATTGAGCCTTTAAAGACACAAGAGAAAGCAAAGAAAGCAACTTATCATTGCCCCCCTCTCTCTATTGCAATACAACATTACAACTTGACTTGGCCCCGTTTGGTTTTGACTTTTCATCCCTCAAAATTTTTTCATTACTTTCAATAGCCAGTTGTCGTTTTTTACTACTTTACTCATAGGTGGGATTCATTTTTTCCTCTAACAATTAAAAAATTGATTCTTATAATCACTATTGACCTGACCCTTATATTCAAGTCGAGTCCTTTGTGACTACGTGTAGTGACTAAGTTTCTTGGTAAATACGGTAGTCACACTGTATTTTTCACTGCATGCATTATTAGACTATTCCTTAGGAAACTTCAAGACATTTTTAATCTACCTATTCTTACCTGTTTGCACTCTGCAGCAAAAATCTTTGAATTCCAGTATCGCTATCTCAAATTTTTCATTGGGAACTGAATTGTCACACACACATTTGCCTCTAAGGTAACTTTTTCCTTTGTTTTTAGGTCACGAAACTTCAATTAGTCCGTTATATTTCACCACATTTCATCCCCCTAAATTACTTTGTTGACCTTTATACCGTAATTTAGGAATGACAATCGGGCTCGTTGGCTCGACTCGAAAAATGCTCGAGCCCGATCGACTTGAGGCTCGGAAGAACCGAGCCAAGGCTCGAGCTGAGCCTCATTTTGGGGTGCTGAGCAAAGTTGAGCCGGCCCGTGTGGCTCGCCGGCTCGGACTTACAGGTCTATATTTAAAAAATATATATATACAAAAAAAAAATTATTTTAAAGGCAGCTGGTTGTTGCCATGTTTATAGAAAAAAAAAAAAGGGCCCGAGCCTAAAGCTCGGGTTGAGCCTAATTTTTTTGACCAAGCTTTTACTCGGCCCGGCTCGAGCCCAGAAAAAGGCTCGATTATTTTATTCGAGCCAAGCTCGAGTCTAAAAGTTCGGCTCGTGAACCGGCTCGGCTCGATTCTACTCTACTCGTTGACATCCCTACCGTAACTGATATCAATAGGTGCCAGAATGGTGAATTTTGAAACGAAATGACCAATTAAGATAAATTAAAATTTAGTGACCCAATTGAGTTTTCGTTTAAACTTCACTGATTGTACATGAAATTTACCCTTTATGAGTATTTTATTTACTTGTTTATCAAACTTCCTTTAATTAAATTTCAATTTGAAGGGCTGTAAATAAATATAACCTGGAGTCCAGTAATAGAATGGACCACCTTTGTGTGTCTATTTAAAAATCTTCGTTGGATTTTGGCCATTTACTCTTCAAAAGGGGGAAAAAATGAAGAAGAAAAGACAGAGCAACTCAACCTTTTGGCTGCTTTTTGGTTGAGATGAGAGCTTTTGGCAAATAAAGAGCAGTAGAAAATAGTAAAAAGTAAATACTGTATTCTTCTTTCTTTAGTTAATAAAACCATGCGCGTGTTAATATACACGATTATCAGCATATTACACAATAAAACGCTAGAAGAAGCCATCTCGTATAAGATGGAATTTTTTTTTTTTTTTTTTTTTTTTTTTTTTTTTTTTTTTTTTTTTTTTTTTTTTTTTTTTTTTTTTTTTTTTTTTTTTTTTTTTTTTTTTTTTTTTTTTTTTTTTTTTACCTATTTGAATTTTTTTTGTAAATTTCTAAAACGTAGAAATAAAAATTGAATAGGTGGTGGATTTTGAAGCGTGAGTGTGACCCATAAATATAAGCAACACAACTACCATGAGTAATGACTCTTTTTGTCGCCCCTCCCCTGCAAGCAGTAGTCCTTTTTTGTTTCACATTCTCTCTCTAGGGCGACTTCATTCAGACCTCGAATATTGAGCCTTTAAAGACACAAGAGAAAGCAAAGAAAGCAACTTATCATTGCCCCCCTCTCTCTATTGCAATACAACATTACAACTTGACTTGGCCCCGTTTGGTTTTGACTTTTCATCCCTCAAAATTTTTTCATTACTTTCAATAGCCAGTTGTCGTTTTTTACTACTTTACTCATAGGTGGGATTCATTTTTTCCTCTAACAATTAAAAAATTGATTCTTATAATCACTATTGACCTGACCCTTATATTCAAGTCGAGTCCTTTGTGACTACGTGTAGTGACTAAGTTTCTTGGTAAATACGGTAGTCACACTGTATTTTTCACTGCATGCATTATTAGACTATTCCTTAGGANCCTCTACAACTTCCCACAGAGATGGCTCAGTGCACGTCTCTAGCCCTCTGTTTCTCTATCATGCTATTCACTTGTGCTTGATTTTAATGAATGCTATGCTTTGAAATTCATCTTCTTGGAAGAATATGGCTTCTGATCAACCAAATTTTCCATTAGCTTTAGATGCTTTGTATTGTGAGGAGGAACATTGGGATAATGGAGGAGTTGAAAACAGAGAAGAAGAGAGCAGATTTCTTTCTGATTTCGTAAATTGCCAACGTCCAGTGGTGTTATTGGAGCAGGATTTGTTTTGGGAAGATGAAGAGTTGAGTACTTTGTTGTCGAAAGAGCAGGAAAATGAACTGTACAATGGGATTCAAGAGAACCCATCTTTGGCTAAGGCCAGAGGTGAGGCAGTAGAGTGGATGCTCAAGGTTATTGAATATTACTCTTTTTCAGCCCTCACTGCGGTTCTTGCAGTTAACTATTTGGATAGGTTCCTCTGTGGCTTTCATTCTCACAATGAGAAGCCATGGATGACTCAACTAGCAGCTGTGGCTTGTCTTTCTTTGGCTGCAAAAGTTGAGGAAACTCAAGTGCCTCTTCTTTTAGACTTCCAAGTAAGTAAAATCCAGAACTTCGATGGATCTCTTCTTGTGTAAAATGGTTAGATGATTTATATGGAATTCTTATTGTGAATAGGTGGAAGAGTCTAAATATGTGTTTGAGGCGAAAACAATTCAAAGAATGGAGATTTTAGTCCTGTCCATACTTCAGTGGAAGATGAATCCAGTGACCCCACTTTCATTTCTCGATTACATTGCAAGGAGGCTGGGATTGAAGAGCAATTTGTGCTTTGAATTTCTCAGGAGATGCGAGTGCTTGCTTCTGTCAATCATTGCTGGTAAGCCTTTTCTCAATATTGTCAAAGTTTTCCCTTTTGAGCTTCTTTTACTCATTCTCTTTTATTCTTCTGCTATATCAATTGCAGATTATAGATTCATGTGTTATAAATACTGTATTCTTCTTTCTTTAGTTAATAAAACCATGCGCGTGTTAATATACACGATTATCAGCATATTACACAATAAAACGCTAGAAGAAGCCATCTCGTATAAGATGGACCATAGCTGGTTGATCCAGCTTATTTCAACTAATTAATCGCAAAACAATGCTATATGTACGTATAGATTTATCAGATGGAGTTACGGAATACCGGATGGCAACATTTCATGGAGTTCGGATAAAAATTAAAGTTAAAACAACCAATAAGGTGATGTCATCTCAGCACCTGTCCGTCTTGTACAATTTATCTATACAACCAACTTTATTCTTAAAATAATTCCCTGCATATAGGAGATTATTCACAGCTGCACCTGTATGGTGCAATTTTTGCCCATATTCAGTACAAAACTTATGAATTTTTGCCAAATATTATTTTGTAAAAGGTCTGTCAAAATATTTTTGTACTTGTAGTGTAACCGTTATTCTTAATCGCACATAATCTGTGCCCCGTGGGCCCCTCCCTATTCAGATGAATCCATATATACGTATAACATGCGTACAAGCACTCACGTGTCGAGTTATTGTGCTGCTCGATCCATGATTCACATTTCACACACACCTAACAGAGAGACTACAATAGCTGGCCTTAGCTCAAAGCCCACTTAGCCAGTATCCATAAAAACGCAATCTGTGGGCATTGGCTATGGTCTCCCTCTACAACTTCCCACAGAGATGGCTCAGTGCACGTCTCTAGCCCTCTGTTTCTCTATCATGCTATTCACTTGTGCTTGATTGTAATGAATGCTATGCTTTGAAATTCATCTTCTTGGAAGAAGATGGCTTCTGATCAACCAAATTTTCCATTAGCTTTAGATGCTTTGTATTGTGAGGAGGAACATTGGGATAATGGAGGAGTTGAAAACAGAGTAGAAGAGAGCAGATTTCTTTCTGATTTCGTAAATTGCCAACGTCCAGTGGTGTTATTGGAGCAGGATTTGTTTTGGGAAGATGAAGAGTTGAGTACTTTGTTGTCGAAAGAGCAGGAAAATGAACTGTACAATGGGATTCAAGAGAACCCATCTTTGGCTAAGGCCAGAGGTGAGGCAGTAGAGTGGATGCTCAAGGTTATTGAATATTACTCTTTTTCAGCCCTCACTGCGGTTCTTGCAGTTAACTATTTGGATAGGTTCCTCTGTGGCTTTCATTCTCACAATGAGAAGCCATGGATGACTCAACTAGCAGCTGTGGCTTGTCTTTCTTTGGCTGCAAAAGTTGAGGAAACTCAAGTGCCTCTTCTTTTAGACTTCCAAGTAAGTAAAATCCAGAACTTCGATGGATCTCTTCTTGTGTAAAATGGTTAGATGATTTATATGGAATTCTTATTGTGAATAGGTGGAAGAGTCTAAATATGTGTTTGAGGCGAAAACAATTCAAAGAATGGAGATTTTAGTCCTGTCCATACTTCAGTGGAAGATGAATCCAGTGACCCCACTTTCATTTCTCGATTACATTGCAAGGAGGCTGGGATTGAAGAGCAATTTGTGCTTTGAATTTCTCAGGAGATGCGAGTGCTTGCTTCTGTCAATCATTGCTGGTAAGCCTTTTCTCAATATTGTCAAAGTTTTCCCTTTTGAGCTTCTTTTACTCATTCTCTTTTATTCTTCTGCTATATCAATTGCAGATTATAGATTCATGTGTTATCTGCCTTCTACACTAGCCAATGCCACAATGCTGTACATTTTCAGTAGCTTACAGTCTTGCATTGGAATAGAATACCAAGATCAACTATTAGGCATTACGGGAATCGACAAGGTTTGTAACTTCAGAATCTCTTTTAGAATATTTTGGGCGCAAGAAATTAAAATGTGCAATGAAACAGGACAAAGTGGAGGAATGCAGTAGTCTAATACAGGAGGTGGCAACAAGGATTCAGTTCCATTCATTGAACAAAAGAAAGTTTGGATCATTGCCAGGCAGCCCCAAAGGGGTTGTGGATGTTTCTTTTAGCTTTGATAGCTCAAATTATTCGTGGGAAGTGTGTACTTCAGCAGCAACATCAGTTTCTTCCTCACCAGAGCCTTTATCCAAGAAAATCAAGAATCTGCATACTTCAAATGAAGCAGATACTTTTAGCTATTCCCACCAAGTCCAAGACTAAGACTCTTCATTTCCAATTTTCATTTCACCATGTAGATGATGATGAAGAATAAGATTTTATCTGTTGTAATGTGTTAAATTGCCTACCATCTTTCCAAATCATTTGATGTGTTTGAAGTGTAAGGTGAAGATGGTTGGCATTTTAGCATCCGGGATGAATCCATTGAATAATTTCATTTCTATTTATGGGTATCTTTTTATTTTAATTAATTATATAGAGGATTTTGTAGATTTTCCTCCTGCTGCGTTTTTCAACATGCGCAAAATATCAAATGAAAACTGCATGTCACGAGAGGAACATTTTGTCGGCCACTGGCATCATTAGTTGGATTTGAAGTATTTTGTTTTTGAGGTTTGGCTCAGATTGATAATGATTAAATTCTATATTTTAATTTAAGTTAAAGTTAATAATTAATTTTAATCATATAAGTTTCATAAATTTTTAATTATATATTTTATTAATTTTTAATAAAATTTATTAAAAAACTGATTTCGAGTTGAAGTGATAGGTCGGTGTAACTGTGAGACAGACAGATCTGTGTGTTTCGAATTTTGAGGCTAATTTGACTAATGAAAAGAAATTAAAAGGTAAAGAAAGAAACGGTGGGATTGGGGTCCTCTTGATTTAAGAGAATTTCTTTCATTTTAGACAATGTCCAATGAGTAATGGGTGGTATTTAACACTTGACTCATGTAGTTTAACAATAAATCATAATTTCTCACCTTTAATTGAATTTATTATTTAGTGTCAGAAATATTGTCATTTAGACTGATTTTTAAATAAATAGCTTTACTCGTATTTAGCCCCTGTTTGAGAATCATTATTTCAAAATTCCTTATTTTGCATGCTCATTTTAAATCACACATTCACATATTAAAAGATTTTGCATGTAATTCAAAATATTTTTCTATATTTTAACCACACATTCTCCAAAAGTTCACTATTCAAAACTTTATTTTTGTCGAATAATGGCCCTTAAACAGGGCCTTGGTGGTTGAAAAAATATAAAGCGTGACTAAATTACAATGTCAAGTTTCATACGTGGACGAAATTTTCGGTGTGGGTTGGCGCCCTTTTTTTTAGAAAAAAGCTTCTATTATTTGGATTAGTATTTAGGTGAAATGTAAGATGAAAGATTTCGATCTACGTGGTAGTGATGTCATTTAAAATTTATTTCCAAGAGATGTTATATACAATTCAATATTACTAGTATATTTTTTCTTCAAAAATAAGAAACATATAATAGGACTTTGAATAGGATATAAATTTTAACAAGTCAATATGTTTAATAGAGATTTTGAATCTGGACGTAAATTGTACAATAGCTTGACAAATTCGTATATGATATTTTGATAAGATATCATATTTGAACAAATTGAGATTTTTAGCTAAACGATTCCTTCTTAAATTGTATTTGAACTGAATTATCCAATTTGGTTTGCACTTAATTGTACCACAAACGACGTACAAACAGCCTCGCATGTGCTTTTCTTAACCACTTTAAATTATAAGGGATCATTACAAATGGCTTTATTCCTCAACCATAAATATATTATATGTAATGTACAAGCTTTTTTGCAAATTCTTTATATAATTCTCTCATTGATCCTCCATACCGTGATTGTCAGACCAATATACAGACATGTCATACGTCTTTTAAAGAAAATAATTTTTCCGGTCACTTTTTTAAACTTTTATATAAGTTAATTTAATCTAATAAGGGTGTTTTATCGTCCTCGATTGGCAATTTGTTCGCATCTCGAACGTTGCATTATGCTCAAAGGAAGAAAAGAAAGATGTAGAAAATGGAGGGCAAAAGGCAAATAACAATAATAATAATATTTACTATAGTAGCATTAAAGGAGAATTGGAATAAGAAAAATGTGCAGATTAAAGAAGAAAGGAAAAAGTAAAGGAATGTTGAAAATGGAGGACAGAGGCAGTATCTTTTGATTTAGGGTGAGATGTCTTTTTGTTTTCAATGCTTTTGATAGTTCTAAGAGATTAGACCTTTTTTTCCAACCATATAATTACACGGGCCAATATGGTAGGACCATAAAACCACTTTAAAAAAAATAAAATAAAAATTCAAATATGTTTAAAAGTAGTTTCTTAGTTTAAGAAATAATTTTCGACTTTTCTCATATATGTTATGTGGATTGTAGTGATAAATCATCTTAAATAAAATTAGTAACGCTTGCATGTCACTTAAACGGATGCTAGATAACATTATTCTTATTATAAAAAATGATGATAAATGATCACTTTGAAAGATTGTGTATAAAAAAATGACATTATTGCAGAGTGCCCAAGAATATACATATGTACCAAAATACATTCAAATTATTAAATACTAAGCCCTTGTTAGCCCCATTTTAGAGGAGAAAATGAATTTTTGGATAGTGTATTGATGGGAAATGTGTGGTTAAAAATTAAGAAAAGAATTTGATTTACGTATAATATTATTTTATTAAAAAATTTGTGGTTGAAATGATGTCAAATCACTGTTGAAAAATGTATTTTGATGAAAAAATGGGGTTCAAACAAGGGCTAAACAATGACTTAGGTCATTGATTTTCAAATAATTATTTCCTCAAGATTGATGCACCTGGTATTGGTGGGTTGTTGTACTTAGTCTACTCAAATCTCGAATTTTCATCGGTCTTTGTGGACCACATTTGGAAATCCCTTCATGTCTACCTTGTTCATAATTAATCATACAAAGTATAAAAAACAAGGGGAAGTATTGATAATAAATAATAATTTTGGACTATAGGGAGTTGAAAATTGACGAGTATCGTGTTAATCATACATATTAAAATGCTTAAGTTGTTAAGAGTGTATGTGTGTCTATATATATATATTCGTTGAATTTCCCTCTTTAATATTGTGCACCTGCACAATTTTTGATAAACGAAAATGACAAGACTTGAATTTTGATGAAATTTTTGAGTGACTCTAGTATTATGTTAATCATCTCATCTGTTGTTAAATTGTGTACACCAACGTGGTATGTCAAGTTATTTTGATTTTTATATTAAAAAATGACTGTTGCAGTTACAGGTTCAGCAAACCTTGGCATAACTTTATAATTTGCAATAATTTTGTTATCATAATTATCATCAACATCAGCAATAATAATCTTTTATTTTTTTATTACATGTTGCCTATGAGGCAAGCAATGCAATAGTCGACTAAGCAAAATGCCACGCAAGATCAGCACCTTGCTATGTATCAGCTCTTTCACATGCTTCTTTCAAAACGATTAGGTTATGCCTTTAAATGCCCCATTTAGAATATTATTATTACCCAAGGCGATGCATCACTCCTCCACTGCAATATATATCCGAGATGATAGGCATGTGCTACAACGAGCTTCTACTATAAGCCTAGTCTCGACCAAGTTGCACAAACAACATTGCACAAAGTAATTTATATGACAACTCTATAGCGACAACACCCAATCAGATCACAACTTTTCAACCTATATACAGGTTATGGAAATTACGTGAATATGATGTTTATGTATTGACACAATTGAATACGACAAGCAAAGCGGCTAGGATGAGGTCATGTATCAAATATCTAGAGTCGACCTCTTCCACCCTCCCTCCACATACAAATACTCGATCCTCTCTCATTCAAGAGTAAATGTTATCTTGAAAGTACAAACTTCGTACAAGGGTGTTCTAAAATTTGAAACTCATATTTTCGTCCATCATATCTCTTCCACGTAATATACTTCTTCATTTGGTTTGTGTGTCGAAATGCACTCCCCTCTTGCCAGTGCTACTGCTTGTGCAATCAACATGGCTATCCAAGTGTACATGTAACGACGTAGAATCCAACTACGATTGGATCTCATTGATTTGGAGGTCAACATTTTTTTTTCTTCTATTTTGTAGATTGTGACATTATCTTGCATTTTATTAAGACTGAATTGAAAAGAAAAAGAAAAAGGAAAAAAGGACAGGTCTACCTGTCGGACAATGAAGTCTGTCCAAATGTAGTAGTAGTACTAGTACCTGTATAATAATTCAACCAACAGTGTTGAGTATTAAGCCATTCAAGCCATGTCTCAATTGTTGTTTTCTTGGTATTTAATAGCAGAATTCCGTGACGAAGGTTCACAAATTAAAGTGAAAATGCCAGTGCAGTGCAGTGCAGTGCAGTGCAGGATGAGTATCCAATGGTTTATTTGGGCCAGAGATTGAATATTGTCTTCGTCTTCAAGTAAAGCCAAACATGACATTCAGGTTTAGCCATGCTGACCATTTAGTTATTGCAGTGTAAAATGGGATCTGAAGGTCGAGGCTGGGCCATCCATTTTGTGGTGGTCCAAAAATAATGAATTTCGAGTTTCAATGAGGGGACATTTGGGGCTTGCGTACTAGATGGCTCGACCGGCAGAGTTTTAACTTTCTTAAGTGCGTCAATATTTACAGAATGTGTGGATAATAATTAATAAGAACAACATCACTTGCTCGACTAGCCATAACACCCCAAGATGTTCAAGACAAAAACAAGTATGCTACAAGAACAAGCTTAAAGACAGGTTTTTTTTACACATACACGCTTGGCAAAATTTTATTTGCAGTTAAAAAATATAAAACAAAAGGTTGCCAATAAAAAACTGACAACTCATCCCCTATAAATAAGTCCCATCGTGTCATTGAACCTGTTTAACTAGTTTAATTCAAACAAAAAAGGGAGAAGCGGTAAACACAATAATTCTGCAGTACTTTTCTGGTGCAAAAAATATTCACATAGCTAGTAAAATAATTAACCTTGTACGAATAATGATGGAGTTTGAGGCTTAAATGGTTAAGTTAAGCCATAAGCTGAGGACTAAACTGTAAATTCTAGAATTGTTGGGAAATGATAGGTTTTATGTATAAATAACATTAAAATTAAATTTGGGCTTTGTGTGAAGTTTGGATGAGTTTTGATCTTTATCAGTATACAAAATTGGGCCTTTTAGGCCATGTATTTCCCTTTAAATTGTCTAAAAGAATAAAATAAGAAAACGTAATTTTAATTATAAGTGAATATGTAATTTTTTTGATAAATAATTTTCTTATTTAAAATAAGTAGGTAAGAGTTCCTAAAACTTTTTTTTTATTGTTTCACTTAGAAGCATGAAATGAGTTATCCAAACATGAAATAAATTTACTTTTTTTAAGCTTCCTTAAAAAAAAATGCAAATAAAATATTAAATATTTTTTCATTAAATTAAAACTAACAATAAGTTACGTGACATGCAAGAGTTAGTTTTAAAAAAGTAATTTTTTTACCTAAAAGTAAGAATAAATAAGTTGTCGATATGCAAACAAAAATATTTATTCTTATAAATAAATAAATAAAATTTTCTTTGTCAATAAAGGTAAAAATAAGTCGAAGTTAAGTTGATGATAATAGGTAACATTTATAAAAGATTTTCCAAGTTTAAAAAAAAAATGTTATTATGAAAAATAGGTTTATTTATTTCTCTAAAAACATGAACTAAGGTTTACTTTCAGATGATTATTTTTCTGAATAAAATTTGCAAAATATGGAATCATTTTTTTCTATTTCCTTACAAATCATACTCTTCAAAGTCAATGACCTTGTTGATTAAGCCAATCCTCTTCAATAAGTTCTCGATATTTGGTTGAATCAATGAGTATTGTCCGTTCAATGTATTCTAAAAGCTCTACTAAAAAAAAAAAAAGTCTCGATTGCTTGTTCATTTCTTGATGCCTCCATACAACTATACAATAATCCATTATATATAATTAACAAAATCATACTTAAAATCGCGAAGAACGTATCATTAATTTCTCCATCCCGACCCGATGTTGAGTCATTTTGTGGTATTGAAGAATGCACTAGCCATCATCTTGCCAAGCTGAACCTGAGAAGCAGTTGTGAGATGCATGCCATCTGCTGCAAGTTTAAGTCCAAAGGCATCAACTGTTACCACATTTTCCATTGCCTTTTGAATTGCTCTTACTCTGTGGATATAATTCTTCACCCCTTGTCCTGATGCTAATGCTACCTTTATATGTATTGATTATCAAACACCAACAACAATAACAGATTAATGAGATTTACGTATATTGTGGGTCCCACTGATATTTATGAGTAATGTTATTTAGAATCACTGGTGTATACCTGAATAAATGGAGCTTTAGGGTTCTTCAATTCTTGATACAAACGATGTAGAAACTTCTTGTATTGGCCCCGGAATTCTTTTGCTGCAACTTTACTCCGTGTATCTGTCTCCCCTTGATACCACAAAATTGCTCGAATTTTTCCACCATATTTGAGAGCGTCGTTAGCTCTTGCGATCAATCGGCTTCGTACCTTGCTATTAGGAATTGCCCAATCTGTAATGTTAGTCCCTCCATAAGCACAAGGGACTAATACTATGACACCAAAATTTGGGTCGTTTTTCAATATTGCATTAGCAAAGGCCATTCCTGGACCAACCCCACATGTTTTTTTCACATCATCGATTCCTTCATGGAGTGGCTCCTTTGCCTCTTCCAGTTTTGACTTTCCATTTAGTCGAAGAATTCTATGGTCACTGCTGGACTCGACTGGAATATATTTGTCCCATACTCCGTTAGACACCCCACCTCTTCCTGCCATGTTGCTCTGGCCTGCTAATATGAATATGCTAATTTTCTCTACCTTTTTGACATTGATTTTTTCTTGAGAAATCATCTCAAGCCGGAAGAAGCCATAGAGAAGCAACATGATCGGAAAGAAGAGCAAAATTTTGTTGTACAAACTTTTCAGGGTAGTGTAAAAGAATCCTTGAGAAGCATCATCCGTTGTCATTTTCGACAGAAAAATCTAGTACTAGAGGTAGTACCTAGAGTGAAAATTGCACCTTTAACGGTGTTGGCATGGTCTCTTGTTAGCACAAATGGTGAAAACTCACAAATGACTCGTTTTTTACGTACTTATATTTGTATTTAATTAAGCGCCGACACTCTTTTGGGATTAACTTGTTAAGTATTGATACTTGTTGCCATGTTTTACGAGATTTGTAACATGCTTCAAATTAAAAAGACACGTTTTGAATGTAAATGTGATATTTTAGAAAATTGGCACATGCCCAAAAAAATAACATATTTCTTTTTTAGCCGCTTCTTCATTCGTAAGGAAATCCAACCAAGACAAACACAGAAAAGTAAATTTTGTACGCACCATTTACACCTATACCATATTTTATTTATATTTTTTTCTTATTAACATTGACATTTAATTAATATCACCAACTGCTGAATAAGAATGCCTCGTAAGTATTGGACCTTGTAAAGAAACGACAATAATTTCTCGAGTTATTTTGATGTTTAAAGTCAATAAGTGCTAAGTAAATAATTGACATAATCGAATGAAATTATAATTATATATAGTTGCTAGGATTCCTTTGTAATAAGTATTCGTGTAATGGCAAATAAAGTCACAAAATCGCGGTTTCCCAGCTTGCTTTCTTGTCGAGGACTGGTTTGAGTCGTTCATCTTTGATTATAGAAGTGGTGTCTTCTAATTAAGATACTAGTATATTCAAAATGTATCAAACATGTCGAGTGAATTTTATGTAATATAAGAACCGTTAAATTAATCAAATTTTACTGTATCACTTTATTGTCTACTTGAATCCTAGATAGGAAATGAACTTCAGCCCCTCGAGGTCGAGGCTTTAAAAAATCTAAGTATATCAATTGGAAATCAGCTCGCATTTTCATTCATATAAACTTCGCGATGTAATTGAATTAAGAAAGTGCCTAAGTTTCCATATTTTTCCGATATTTATATGTGTGATTTACAATTGAAATGATCTCAAATATCTGAAATTATTTACTTGCAAGTTTTTCTTTCTAAGATCTGGATCGTCACCCGTTATTGGGAAAAATCGTAACACCTTGAAAATAGAATTCGTTAGTGTAGAAGAATGTACGCGAACGTTCCTACAGTCGATTATAAAGTAGCATTTGTTCTCGTAGCTAATTTAGACAGACAGCCCTCTTAAGTATCAAAAAATTTCACTATCTATTTAGCAAAAATAAGTATTGAAATTGTGGCTATACATTGGACTCAAATTCTGCCGTTAACTTGTTGTTCTGGTCTGAATAATTTGAAATAAAAATTTATGAAATGGTGCTGAAAAAGGCATCTGCTAGCATCCTGCCAAGGCAAACCTGTGAGTTAGTGGTGAGATGGAGGCCATCTTCTCCAACTTGGAGTCCCATGGCATCAACAGTTATAACATTCTTCACTGCAATTTGACTTGCTCGAACATTTTCCAGCCAATCTGCTTCTCCCTGTCCTGATGCTAATGCCACCTTTACACGAATATGAGAATTACTTTTGGCTTCGAATCAACAATGATTGTGTACAATTTCTTAACACACACAGTTTTGGTACAAGTACAGAAAAAATTGATAGAATTTTTATCGAGAAACACTTGGCAGATTTTCATTGGTTTTTGACATAACAAATATGAGAATCGTACCATACAGATGTTACCAACACAACACTTGTATCATTTCTATCAATAATTCCTTGTACTTATGAAATTATTCTAATGCATATTTGGTTTAGTTGAAATGCTACAAAAAGTAAATAAAAACTTGCTTGTTTCGATGTCAGAAGGGTCAAGACAGAAATTTTAGTCAAGTTTGGCCAAAAAAGTCTCAAAATGAAATAAATGTAGAAAGAAGCAAAGCCAAACATGGTCTTAGACACTTTCGAATGAAATAAATGTTATCGTAACATCATCTTTTCTTACTATATCAACAGTTGGTGAAGCCTTATTTAGCTAAAAATAAAATTTTATATAATTTACTCTCTTCTATTTTAGAATTCTTATATTTGAAGATTGCTTTTTCTTCCAATAAGCACTTCTTTTTCTTTCTTTTAAATTCTTCATATACAGATCAAATCTGTGCAATCAAATGGGATTTTTTCCATGTAGTGCAAGTCAAAAGATTCAGGATTGGCACAAAATTGTTATTTTTGTTCCTTTGTATCCATCCATATGCTCATTTGGCTTCTACGGTATGAGGTAAACAATTACTTCTAAGATGATAATCCCTTGTTGAAATATGCTTAGTTAAGGGCTCATTTGAGATGATTTTGGAAATCCAAAAACTTTGGTTCGATTAATTTTATAAAATTGTTTCTTCTAATCACAAAATCTTTTAGAGGGAGCCGACGTAATGGCTCTTCTTCTATAAGCTCTTCCAGAAATGAAGTTCTTTTAGAAATTTTGTTTTCATAAACTAATTAATATAGTTTCCTCAAAAAATCTTGTACAAGAAATAGAAGCAAATAATCCTTAAAACAAGCAGAAACTTGATCGCAAAAGACTTATCAATACCTGAACAAATGGAATTTGGGGGTTCTTCAATTCTTGATATAAACGATAAAGAAACACTTGGTATTCGCTGGGAAACAAATAGGAGGCAGCTTCGGTTTCTGTATCTTTTTCTCCTTGATACCACAAAATTGCACGAATTTTTCCACCATAATTGAGAGCTTCAGTTGTTCTTTTAATCATCTGGCTTCTGAGGCTGCTATTAGAACCAGACCAAGCTGTAATACTTGTCCCTCCAATGGCACAAGGGACCAAAACTATGACCCCAAAATTAGGGTCTTTTTCCAATATTGCATTAGCAAATGCCATTCCTGGACCAACCCCGCAAGTTTTATTCACATCAATTCCTGAATGGAGTGGTTCTTCAGCCTCTTCCAATTCTGAATTTTCATTTAGTCGAAGAATTCTTCGATTTCTCATGCATTCGGTAGGCACATATTCGTCCCATTCCTTGTCATCGACCCCGCCTCTTCCGGCCATGTTGCTTTGTCCTCCTAATATGAATATGTTCACTTTCTCGACCGTTTCGGGATACGGGTTTTCTTGACCGATCATCCTAAAACCGGAATAGCAATACAACAACAGCAGCAACAAAAACAACAGGAAAATCTTGGTACATAGACGTTTCATTGCGGTGTAAAATGTAAAAGGATCATATTCACAAGGATTATACTTTGACATTGAATACAAAATCCTGTACCAAAAGTGTACACAGCAAGTAGTATTTATTTACAAGTACTAATTCACAGCACTTCTTTTCCTACAAGGGAACTAAATCCATTCAAAAGAGGCAACAGTGTAATAGTTATATTTAATACAAATGGGGTTTAATTAAACCTGAAATTGCAATAACAGTTGGCCACATTAATCACGATTTCTTTGTTTATAAGGAAACGAATCCTACCGACAAGCTTAAAAGTTAAAATGATAAATGTTTGACTTTTAATTTATTATTTTACTATTTAACCACGTGTATAATCTTTAGTAGCGCTAACCAAAATTTTAGTATTTTCAAATCCAATTTTTTATTATAATCGGAGCAAAAGTATAAAAATTAAATTTGAGTAGTTGTAGATTTGGGAATGTAAACAAGGCCTACATGCATCAAACAAGGAAGACTTATATAGGACGATTTTATATTCACACGCGATAGGATTGATCTTTTAGATTGTGATATAAAAGACTTTAAACTGCTCAAATCATGACATTTTAACATTCAAAGAAATCAAGAGGTCTTCAAATATCGAGATGTCATGATTTAAATGGTTCAGGATTCGATGTGTCATAATTTAAATAATTGAGCGTATCGTTCTTTTGAAATTTCTTTATCTGTAAACTAAATGAAGGTCATAGAAAAACAAAGGGTTAACGCGGCAACCTTCATATGTTATTTCAGAACTGTTGACCTTGAAAATTGGACCTTCTACGTGGCCAATCGAGAGCTACTCCACGTATTCCTCCCTGCGCACAATCAATGCAAGGTCAGACGCACACGGTCAGGACCAGCGGGGGTGGTGGCGACCGTATACACTCCGACGGTCAAGTTAGGTTCAGGTTGTCGGAACAGTACCCGGGGGTTATGCAAAATAATAAGGGGGAGGAGAAAATATATATATGCTTGCTATGGAGTGTTATGTAGTAAGAGTTTCATTACCTTTCCCTCTTGCCAACCCTTGGGTATTTATAGGTGGGATGAACCGTTGAATGTGGGGCACGTGTATACATCTGACGGTATGAGGTGTCTGCTCATAGGCGTCAATCAGCCGCGTCTGTAGAGTGGGCGGGTAATTGCTTCTCCCGAGTTGAGTTGATATAAAGTTGATAAGTCACATCAACTAGCATCATGAAGACGTCAAATCAATTTAAACCTCAGGGGCAGAAATGATCTTGGCAAAGATCTCCTTCTGAAATTGGCGACGGATCTTCTGACAGAGGTCCCCGGAGCGCACTTCGCCTCGGCCTCAGGGGCAAGGGCTCTTCGGTCAATTCAGCAGGATCGCCTATGTCTCGCAGTGTGATAGCACGTCGTTGACATTGGGGAGATCACTTCGGAACCACTCGAGGGCGAGGACGCTTCTGTCAGTTTAGCAGGATCGCCTATGTCTCGCAATGTGATAGCAGGTCGTTGACATTGGGGAGATCACTTCGGAACCACTTCGGGTAGGTGTCTATCAGATCAGAGTGTGTGGTGGTGGACATTTCGAGATGGTTCAGATAGGGGCGTAACAGTGTTCCCCCAGTCCAGGTATGAATATTTATATCATGGGTGGACTTACCTTCCTGACCAGATGTATATGCCTCGGTATATGGACCATGATTTGTGGGAGTTTGTGGGCCAATCTTCTGCATTCACTGAAGCGATGACCTTAGGTAGATGCTCTAAAGCTTTGCTACTGCGTAAGGAAAATAATTACTCATGTGAGACCGAAGTGCTGTAAGACTAGATGATGCGTAGGAAGAAGGTCAACGCAACGATCGAGGCGATGATCTACAGTGGACTCGCTTCAGGTGCGTCTAGGCTTTGTAAAGTTGAGTGAGGAGCCCATCTGTCACCGGTGCGCTGACCCACAGGGGACGACGCGTTGGAAGATGGCTAAAACTCTATAAAGCTTAGGAGGGAACGCAGCGACCAAGGCGATGACCCACAGGGGACTCCATATCAGATGCATCTAAGCTTTGTAAAGTTGAGTGAGGAGCTCATCTACCACTGGTGCGCTGACCCATAGGGGACGACGCATTGAGAGATGGCTAAAACTCTGTAAAGCTTAGAAGGGAACGCAATGACCGAGGCGATGACCCACAGGGGACTCCGCGTCAGGTGTGTCTAAGCTTTGTAAAGTTGAGTGAGAAGCTCATCTGCCACCGGTGCGCTGACCCACAGGGGACGACGCGTTGGGAGATGGCTTAAACTCTATAAAGCTTAGGAGGGAACGTAGCGACCGAGGCGATGACCCACAGAGGACTCCGCATCAGGTGCATCTAAGTTTTGTAAAGTTGAGTGAGGAGCTCGTCTGCCACCAGTGCGCTGACCCACAGGGGAGGATGCGTTGGGAGATGGCTAAAACTCTGTAAAGCTTAGAAGAGAACGCAGTGACTAAGGCGATGACCCAGGGGACTCCGTGTCAAGTGCGTCTAAGCTTTGTAAAGTTGAGTGAGGAGATCGACCCGAAGCGGACGTCTGACGTTAAATGATTTGACAGCTGTTGCGTATTTTCAAGGTGACAGTTGGGTGCCATGCCCATTCCCTTAAAAGGCGGCTGCGGCTACTTATTGTTGACGGCTAAAGGTGACCGAGGTGGCTCGTTTTATGCGAGCGTAAGGGTCACAGCAAGATCTTAGGCGTAGATTAAATCTGGCTTTTCATTTCAACGGCCTAGATTGATGATGGGACGGACGGCCTAGATTAATTGCATTTGAATTCAACGGTAGAGATCAGTTGGAGCGTTCTATAAAAGGTGGACTTTGAGTGTCTTTGAAACTTTTCATCCTTGTGCAAATAGAAAATTTACTTTGTTCTCAAATCATTCGCGATTTTCGGCGTTTTTCGAGTGTTTCTGATGAGAAATATCAATATTTGGTGACCTTACACCATTTCCTGACCATTTCCAACTGGGGAACCCTCTGAATTCGTAAGTTTCAGTAACTTTTGGGACATTTACTTTCTAAAAAATGGCTTCTGAGGGAAGTTCTGGTTCGGGGAGGGGGCTAGAATTAGTGAGGATGGACGAGCTCACTGTGGCGACCTCCTCCGATATAGCCGAAGCGATACTTGGGGGGGAGAATATATGGAAGAGGCCGGATAGCCCGGTTGATACTTCTGTGCCCTGGGGGGCGTCGAATTACCCCTCCAAACTAAAGGAGGCCGGCCTAGAGAGACTTAGGGTAGAATATAGGATTCCAAATAGCATAAATCTGATCCTCCCTGAGCCTGAAGAGAGGGCCTGCTACCCTAGGTCGGGCTGCGTGTCTATAAGTAAGGCGATCCTTAGAGCCGGCCTTAGGCTTCCAATTCACCATTTCTTTAGGATGGTACTTAGGTCCTATGGATTAGCTCCGACCCAACTCAATCCGAACTCCTGGAGCCAAATGGTGGGCTCCTAGATGTTGTGGAAAGAGGCGTCACTTAGGGTTGAGATGCCATTCTCTGTCTTTCAGACCCTTTATATCCCTAAAGTAACAGCCGGAGGGGGGGTAACACCCAGGGCTGGTATTACCTTACTTCTTGGGGTTCCCATACTCCATTCGTGCTCGATCTACCGAGATCCATCAAAGAGTGGAAGAGCTCGTGGTGCTGGGCCGCAGGAGGATGGGATACGATGGAGGGTGACCCCCTGACCCTTCTTACGGTCCCCACGAAGTACTCGACACTTAGTGAGTATCGCAGTTGCGTTTCTTTATATTTCTCTTCGGTTCGGATCGCGACTAACATTTGTATTTCTTTTGAAGGTACTCTTTCTCGGTATGAACTGTCTTCTGAAGATTTCGACACTATTTGTATCATCTATCAGCTGCCTCAGAAGAAGAGGTCATACCATCAGCTGATCATAAAATATCTACACTTTGTTACACATGACTTGATGGCATCTCAAGGTAACTGTCTCGAAACCTTTACCCTTCAATATTTCTGAACTCTTTACACTTGTATTAATTCATCGTTTGCTCCTTGCAGACAACTTCAACAAGAAGATGCCCGTGCGCCCCGACTTTAAGACCATCCAAAGGATGATGGCAGAGGCACGGGTGCTGAAGGCCTCCTCATCCGCCTACAAGAAGCAAATGGTGGACCTGGTGGATGCCAGTAAAAGGCTCTAGCCTCCACGGAGGAGGAAGTGCCAGAGGACCCCGAGGCCGACCTATTGCGGAAGGGCAAAAAGAGTGTCGCCCCTTCAAAACGCCCAACTGTGGCGAGACCACCCCCATTCTGAAGCAGACTACAATCCTAACCAGGGTGGCCATTCTGGAGAAGAGGCCTGCACCAGCAGAGGTTGCTACTACCCCGGCCACTTCGCCACTTGCTGCCGTGCCTATTGCCCAAGTGCTGGGGCAGCAGAGGAGAAAGAGGGCCCGTCCCTCTAAGGAGGTCGACTTCTTGAGCATCGACCCGGAGAAGTCGGTGAAAGAAGTCTTGGAGGCCCTTCCTCCAGAAACGGCTGCGGTGGCGGTGGTCCACAACAAATATTAGACCAAAGAGTGGAGGGACCACACCGCTTTCTGCACAGTCGAAGACCTACTGCGTGGCCCAGGCTTTCAGCACCAGCATCCAACTCAAGGGCTTGGTGAAGGATCTAAACGCTAAGAAGGAGGACCTCACTAAGCGCCTCGAGGAGGCGATGTAATACGGGGACGTTGTGAGAGAGGCCCCGGGCCAAGGCCACTGAGGAGAAGAAGGGACGGAAGGAGGCCGAGGCCCAGCTGATTGCCGGCAGAGCAGAAGTGGAGCGGCTGAAGAAGGAGCTATACGAGGTGGAGTGCCAGGTGGCTGCCATGAGTCGACGAGTGGATCATGCCAACGAGCACCACCGGCTTACCACGGAGGCTCTCGAGGCCTCAAACAAAGAAAAGGTGGAGCTGAGGCAAAAGGTGGAGGCTCAATCTGAGGAGATCGCCTCCTTGAAGGAGGAGTTGAAGTCGACAGGGGAGGTGGCGGTTCAGAATTTCATCGACCACTTCGAAAAATACCCCCTGTACAACGACTTCGCTAACTTTTGGGCCTCCTGGAGTGCCCAAGGCTTGCTGGGTCGGCTGAAAGAGGTCCACCCTACTCTGGACATCTCCTCTTTGGTGGCAAAGTTCGAGGGACCAACTG